AAAGAAAGGAGAACAAGAAAAAAACAAAAATATATGGGGTTCACTACTGCGGGCCAAAATCAGCGACAGAGTCGTCCTTCAATACCTTCATGTCCCCCACTAGTGCACCTGATCTCTCTCTCTCTCTTTCTCTCTCTCTCTCTCTCTCTCTCTCTCTCTCTCTGTCTTTCTCTCTCTCTCCACCTATTCAACCCACCTAACACCACGAAGACTTCCACGGAGTCCACGATTCGACAGGTCAACCGTTATGCAGCACACACAGTAGAATTATCAAGCTGCCTTTGTTTTCGCAGAACCCCCCCTTGCGTGGCACTGCTTTCCTCTTCTTCGCCCCTGCTCTGTTGCTATCCCTTTCCGCCTGTCTGGCGTCCATCCGTTTCTGTCTCTCCTCAGCTCTCGCCTTCTCGTCCAACATACCTTGATATTTCTCAACCCAGCGAGGCTTCGACAACCTATCCACCAGTCTCATGTCCCTGACCTGGATCGTCACCCTCTTCGAATAGATGGCCACCTCGTTGGTGTTCTCGAAATTAGCGACCAAGTACGCCTCGACAGCCTCCATCAAAGCACGCACCGCCATCATCTGAAACCTCACGCCCATACCTGGAGCAATGTCCCGCTCCACAACCTCGCGCACGAGACGCAAGAACGGCCTGAAAGCCAAGCAAAGGTCAGTGGATCGTTGCAACTTTCTGATTTCCGACAAAGTTGTCATCCCGGGGCGTCGACGGCATCTGAAGATCTGAGTTCGTGCACCTGCGGTGTCTCCAGTCCCTGGCACCACCTTCGGGTTCACCTTCTTTCTGCCTGCGGGCGTCTGCCCACATGGCGGTCCGGGCGTGCACTTCTTCTTCTTCCCCGGGCTCTGCGACATCGCGACATCGCTCAGCCCGCCCATGTCACATCGTGCTGCAGAGCACCCCCCGACGCGACCAGGACCACATGGGCCCTCCACCTCAGCAGACAAACGGGAAATTTTTGAGCGCTTCTCTGTCCTCTTGCCTGCCTGTGCTAAACCTGGCAAGCCAGCCTCCGGCATATACCGAATGTCTTGCAGGAGTCCATCTGAGTAGGTCAGATAGAAAGGCACACCAAGCGGGTCTCTGAATCTCATGGTGACGTCTCCACCATGCTCATATGTCATGGGACATACGACCGGGACCCAACCAAGAACGCTTAGAACGGTCGTGCAACCGTGCCTGCGGCGAATGCAAGCCATATATCTGTTCTCACCGTCGTCGTGCTCTTGGGCCGTACAACTCCCCTCAACCATAGACCACATTCCCTGGTCAGCCATGGAGTCATAACCCTCGCACACCATCTGACGCTCCTCCTCCCTTGTCTTCTCCCAGCACCGCTTTGCGTGTTCAACCACCAGGACGTGGTTCTTTACATTCACATTGAGAATAGAGACACGTGCTAGAACCACGAGGAACTGCCAATGCTCCACAATGCCTGCATGCATCCATCCCAATGGGAGTCAATGCCCTGATTGCAGTCTTGCTGCCATCGTCACCTTGCCATCAACCACTGCAGGATGCAAACATCCTCGGACCCAATTGACATGGTAGCCATACTTTTCAGGGGTCATATGATGCTGCAACTGTCCTTCGGGGATGACACGGGCCCCAATGTCCATGGCAGACAGAACGTCACTCCTCATTGTGACATTGGGGCCCATGGCAGACAGAACGTCACTCCTCATTGTGACATGGTCCCATATCTGCGAGCATACTCCATCGTACGTGGCTTCCTGCCCTCTTGCATGCGTGTATGTGCTGCCATCCTCACCAGTGAAAACTTTCCCTTCAACCACCTCCGAGTCCACAGGGTTCCGAAGCGGCGGGAAAAAACAGCCAGCAGTGTGGGTATTATATGCCATTGCCTTCTTCTCGTCTTCTGAGACCTCCCTGTCGAGGTGCCTGAAGGAGAAGTTGTCATTCACATAATGCGTGCTCCAGACATTTCCCATGGCATCACGCATCATCATCCTCACACGGCCACATGGAATCGGGATCACACATGGCACCCAACCCCACCTAGGATCCCTCCTCGCATCGCTCTCGTGGCACGCTGTACTCCCTGTTGCGTCGTTCCTGCCAATCACCCATGCCTTTTCACAATCAAAAATGCCGTACAAAAAATCGTTCAGCCTGAACTCGCCCTGCGCCCCCAGAACGCGCCACACGTTCATTGCATATCGTGCTTTTACCTCTGTTGTTGCCCCATCGTTCAACCTTAATTGTCTGTCAAGCACGATTGCCAGAGTCACGTTTCGCGATGTATTCTTTTTGGGGGCAGGAAATGGAACCCATGTCCCTTCGACTTTGAACGCAAAGCAGGGTGCTCCTCCAACAATACCCGGTTGAACACGACCCGGCACCCAATTGATGTCATATGGGTAGCATTGGGTACTCTTCTCCTGCTGATGTTTTCACTACATTTTCATCTTTCACAATACACCCTGTCAGAGATTCCCTGCTTCCCAGACCTCCCTCCTCTCTCTCTTCCCCAGCCGTTTCCGTCTCACAAGTGTTCCCTCCTGCATCATTCTCTGTTTCATCACCATCACCCATCATCTCTGCAGTCTGTACACATATTGTCGCAAGCACCTCTGCACAGTCTGCGTTGTTCCCTCGTGCCGAATTCCCTTCCTTGCTGCCTTCTGCAAAACCCTTCAGAATGTCCTCCGTCTCCATGACGCATGTCTCTCCACCGTTGATAGTCGATGCAATCGCGGGTTCCATTTATTGCATGAGACACCACATACATTTATGAGAACACGTAGCTGCGACATGCCCCCCTCACCAGAGAGAGAGAGAGAGAGAGAGAGAGAGAGAGAGAGGTTCACTAGTGCGGGCCAGAAGGACAACAAACAGCACCGGTGGACACTGACATGGCACGCAGTAGTGAACCACTTGTGTGTCGTAAGGCAAAAAGCAGCAAACATTTTGGACATAAATTTACTCTAAGCAGAAACTAATAATACAGGCAGCACTTAAACACACATCATAGTATGTGTGTGTGTGTGTGTGTGTGTGTGTGTGTGTGTGTGTGTGTGTGTGTGAGAGAGAGAGAGAGAGAGAGAGAGGTTCACTACTGTGGCCCAGAACTCCAACAAACATCTCATGCGAGACAGGCATTGGCCCGCAGTAGTGAACCTCATGCTGTTGGACAAGGAAAGACGCAATGACAGAGAGCGGTTCACTACTGCGGGCCAGAACGACAACAAACAGCACCGGTTGACACTGATATGGCACGCAGTAGTGAACCACAAGTAGTTGAAAACGCAAAGACGCAGCACCACCGAGAGGTTCACTACTGCGGGCCAGAACTCCAACAAACATCTCATGCGAGACAGAAATTGGCCCGCAGTAGTGAACCTTATGCTGTTAGACAGGGAAAGACGCAGCGACAGATGGCGGTTCACAAGTGCGGGCCAGAACGACAACAAACAGCAGCGGTGGGCAGTGACATGGCACGCAGTAGTGAACCACAAGTATGTCAATATAGGAAAAGGTTGCGAACATTATAGACAGAAAAGTGTGGACGAAGAAGTTGTAATACGGGCCGCAATAAACATACATAATTGTGTGTGTGTGTGTGTGTGTGTGTGTGTGTGTGTGTGAGAGAGAGAGAGAGAGAGAGAGAGAGAGAGAGAGATCACTCGTCTCTGACCACCCACGCAGCCACGATTTGACATCTTGTGTAGAGAGTTTTTAAGCGGTCGTTGATGTGAAGTCCTTTCCTGCAATGCTCACATTCGTTATTCCCTCCATGCTGGCCTGCGTTCGTTACGACCTGTACCATTATCTCTTTGATGTACGATATGAGATGGAACAGACAATCCGCAACCAGCCTCGTCATTTGTCGCGAATTCGCTTTTGCAACGAACTTTTGAAATGTGTCCGTCGTCATACGCAGCGCAACAGATTCTGCATCAACACAAGGTGCTTTGTTAGCGACGACACATGGGAAGTTGTGACGAACGTGGTGACAATTCAGTGTGGCAACATCGGTGCACGCCAGCACGGCATGCGGTGCAGGCGCGCAGTCCCCGACAGTGGTCCCAATTCCTGTGAAGGTTTGCATTGTTGTGTCGATTTCTTCATCTGCCTTCGTTCTTTCACCTTCTGCACTTCCCATGACAACTTCGTTCGCACAAGTCACCGTCATTTCCCCATCCAACAACCTACCTCGTGTGTGTTGCAGGGCATCAATGACGTCCGAGCAACCGTTCAACAGAGACGTCATATGACAAGGAAGGTCATCCTTACCAATCGCGACACCCTCATCACAGAGACCGTACTCGTCTACGGTTTTCTTATAGTGGCGAATACAGTCTGCTGCGAAGGCCAAGAGGTCGACGACACTGCGTGACGAAGCAGTTAGCGAACCCGTATTATATTCTTGGTTATCATATGATGCTCACCCCTCCTTCAGCACACACTTGGTTATCATATGATGCTCACCCCTCCTTCAGCACACACTTCTCAGGGCTGCCACAAGATGCTACATCAAGTCGTTGTGATTCCCTGTGAGTTCTCTTTGTGACGTGGGCGGCGAACCGATTCAAGGCCGCGGTGCGCCTGCGTCTTTCACCATCCAACGATGTCTTGAACTCGTCAAACGTGGTGGTCTTCGTTTCAGCTATTGCCTTCAGACTGACAGTCATGTCCTCCCTCAGACGAGTTATGTCTAAACACTTTGGATCATCTAGCAACAACCAGAACACACTGAGCATCCTGTGTTTCGCAGTTTCTGTCATTTCTACGAGCAGTGACTTAATACGGCCTACTTCGTCTGACATCTGTCTCGCCAATTGTTTCTGCTTATGTACCTCGTCTGTTAGCCTGTCTATATGTACTCGCTGCTTCTCTACTATCTGACCCCAGTTCCAGTCCATCTCAGTCGTCTTCTCTTCTTTGGGCCCCACTAGTAGAAAGTGATCCGCCGTTGCATCACACTCTTCGCCTGACTTTTTCTTCTGTCCGGTTTTGGCCAATCTTCACATCTGGAAATATATGTACATACAGAGAAATACAGAGAGATAGAGATAGACAGAGAGAGATGGAGAGAGAGAGAGAGAGAGAGAGAGAGAGGGAGGCAAAGACAGACCCTCACTACTTCCATAGTTGTTGTCAGCGGGCGCCTACCGAAGATTGGCTATATGTATGTGGCAACATACATTGGTATTTATTACTGTACATCTGCGTTTCCCCCGTACATGACTCGATATAACAGTGGACAACACAACTTAACAAATACAAAGCAGACCATTTTTTCCAAACGCATCCGGCGGAATGAGGGAGTGAGAGAGATTGAGACGCAGGAAAAAGAATAGAGAGAGAGAGAGAGAGGGAGAGAGAGAGAGAGAGAGACGCCACAAACAAAGAAGAAAGAAAGAACCGTCTGACAAAACAAAAATGTATGGAGTTCGCTACTGCGGGTCAAANGAAGAAAGAAAGAACCGTCTGACAAAACAAAAATGTATGGAGTTCGCTACTGCGGGTCAAAATCACACTTATGTACCTCGTTCAATGGGTTCGTGACCCGCAGTAGTGAACTCTCTCTCTCTCTCTCGCTCTCTCTCTCTCTCTCTCTTCTCTCTCTCTCTGATTCTCTGTCTCCCATTTGTAAGAAATAGCAAAACAAAAGAAAAGGAAGTAAGAAAAAAAACAAAGAAAGACAGACGTGGCTCCCGATTGACAGACAGAAGGACAAACAAACAGACAGAAGGACAAACAGACAGACATACAGAAGGACAGACAGAAGGACAAACAGAAGGACAGACAGACAGATGGACAGACAGACAGACAAACAAAGAAAGACAGAAGGACAGACAGACAGACAGACAGAAGGACAGACAGAAGGACA